CTTACTAATTCACAAGCTATTCTTAGCACATGACCAAGTCTTGTTTACTGTGGAAACAGGCCAGTATGCTACTGCTCTACACCCAACAACTATGTCCAATAGCACTGAATTCACAAGAGGTCTCTATTGAGGTATGGGAAAGGGATATTTAGGGGGTTGGATTGGGGCAAGTACTTTGATTTTAAGGATGGCTAGGCCTATCCCTTACTATTCTGGGACAAAGCCCAACTCTTCTCAGGACTACCTATCTGGACATCATGCTGTTGCTGGTGCCTTAGAAGCCTTGTTGAAAACACTGTCCTTAGCAAGACTTTATCGGTGGGAGTATCTGGGAGCACCTTCATTGAAATTGGGGTGGGGAGTCTGTGGTGTCCTACCTCTTGGGTATCACTATAAAACCTCAAAGTGTTCCTGAGTTCCCGTGTGTAACTTAGCTTCAGGGTCTACCCAAAAAGGGCCTTATGAGTACTTGGGGGTTCTAGGGGAAAGGAAAGCACCTGTTTTTGATACTCAAGAGCACTCTGACCCATGGCCAGGGGAAAAATCCTGGCTGTTCAGGGGAGCTGTGGGCTAGCTAGATGGCAAGCGGAAAACACTTAGCTTTCAGCCCTGAGAAGCTGCTACTGTAACTCCTGGGCCTGCCCAGCACTGCCAAATCAGACACATAGAGGGAAATCCAGAAGATTAATAGTGTGGCTTAGTGGTAAAATACTTGTCACCCATGCATAAGACTCTTGCTTCAATCCATAGCATCCCAATAAAAAAATAAGGAAGTGCAGGCTATAACACCAACCTTCCAGGCAAGATGTGCAACAGTGGCATATCATGATGTAACCAAATGCTTTCTGGTTGAATTTGAGGCCTGCTTCACAGGAGGGAATTTATGCCTAGTGTTGTAAACCTGGTCAAAAGCCCATGGCTGGGGAGGTCATAGGCCCTAGAGGGGAGCCTGCTGTTGTTATTTTGCTAAATGGTCATGTTGTCATGCTACCTTCTAAATATTTCTGTTTCTACCCATAGATCTGTACCACTCTCAGTCTTAGCCAGAGAAGCTGCTTTCTGTAGTGGGCAGCCATTAATTCAGAGACTCCTGACTGGTCACAGCACTGAGAATAAGTGACTGAGTATTCAGCGCTTAATGGGTCTTCTATATCAACTCCCCCACAAAGGGCTCAGGGAACACTGTGGATGAAAGAGCAAAAGCAGTGTAAGAGTAGGAAGACAGGGAGGAGAGATGTGAAATGCTGTCTTCAGACCTGACATGACTGCTGAACTCGTGAACTCACAGCAGCTGTGGTTACCCGAACAAGATCAAGCCAGTAAAATTCCAGTATGGATGGGAGAGAGGTTCGCAAGGCCCCACCCGTAGCTGAGGAGCTAGGCAGCCTATGGTGGCTGGTGGGAAGAGTCATTTTTCTTTGGTGTCGGTCACTGTTAGTTTGTCCATGCTCCAGTGGATGACCCCACATGGATGTGCATAGAAGCAGCAATAATTGGATGCATTGGGACATATTTTTTTAAAAGAAACAGAAGAGAAGGAGGATGAGGGGAAGGAGGAAGAGAAGTTGGGAGCAGAATGTGTTGCAGAGGTCTGGGGGGATGAGTATGATGCTAATTCATTGTACACATGTATGAAATTCTCAAAGAATATATATATATTTTTAAATTTCAGATCTATGAATTGCCCAGGCGTAAGTGACACATCTACAATGCAACCTCCACACCTAAGGCTCATGGAACATAGAACATGGGTAAAGAAGAGGACACTAATGAATCTCTCAGTCCTCAATAACAAAGCTCCCTCATGCAGCAGAGAGCCAGGAACACAAAAGGTCACAAATAGCCAAAGTGCAGAGATCAAGAGTCTGCTGAATGATGGTCCTTGGACAGGACTCCTTTATTAAACTTCACCAACCCAAGGCTCAGGGACCATCGAGGAATCGGGGGCGGAAAGATTGTAAGAGCCAGGAAGGAGGTGCAGGACCATATGGAAACAGAGTCCTACAAGCTCCTGGGAACCTGCTCATATGATTATATGGCAATGGTGTCAGCATACGCAAGTCCCATGCAAAATTCAGGCAGACAAAAACCCAGCATAGAACTGGGAAAATGAACAGCAGACCCCAATCTTATCTAAAGAAATATTGGCAACTGGTTGCTATTAGGTGAAAAAGAGCTGATCTTCCTAAAACAATGGACTCTAGAGAGGCTGACTAGACCTCAGAGGATGGACTTACACTGGGGAACAGCTGGGGACACTGATAACACAGTGGGCCTTAACAGGGATGACAGAGTATATAGGTTCGGGGGGGGCAGCTTTGGGAGGGTGCCAGTGGGGACAGGGTTACGAAACACACAAAAAATTCAATAAAAACAAATTTTAAAAAAATTTCGGGACTGGAGAGATGGCTCAGTGGTTAAGAGCAATGGCTGCTCTTGCAGAGGACCTGGTTCACTTCCTACCACCCACATGACAGCTAACAACTGTCGGTAACTCCAGTTCCAAGGGATGCCCTCTTCTGATCTCTGCAGGCATTGCATGACACAGGTACACTTACATGTCTTCAGGCAATACAGTCATACACATAAAATTTAAAAAATAAGCTGTTTTAGGAGGTTTTAGAAGGTGTGGCTTGGTGGAGGAAGCACATCACTGGGGGCAGGCTTAGAGAGTTCTTAAGCTTTGTTCTGCTCTCTGCTTCCTGTGCCTGCTTGAAGATGTGAGTGTGCCTCTTTCTGCTCTGACCACTTCTTGCTACTATGCTTCCCCACCATGACAGACTCTGATACCTCTGGAACTGCAAGATCAATAAACTCTTCCTTTTATAAGTACAAAAAATAAAAATAAAATATTTTTAAAATTATGTTGGAGACATATAAATTAGGACACATTCTAAGGAATGTGATAGGAGGTAAGAAGGGAGGTCTGGGTTTGATTCCAAGTTTCTTTTTAAGGTTGTACTGTGAGTTAAACCCTGAGAGATGACTGACACGCTTCTGCTAAACATGATAAGGAGTTCGTATGTTTTGCTAAGAGCTATGGGCAGCCACTGGTCCCGTGCTAGGCCTAGGGCTTCCATTTAAACTTTCTTGGATTCCAGTCTCTTCCATGGGGCCCCGCGTGTTCACAATATACAGGCCTAGACTGACCTCCTCCAGGAGCTCCAGGCATTAACATTAGGCTTTGTCTTCACTGAGCCACAGGTGACCTTATTCAGTTTTCAGCATCACTTCTCCAGTCCTGCAAGCCTTGACCCTACCTGTACCCATTCAAGATGGGAAGTTCATTCCTTAGCTGCTATTAGCTCCACATGGCTTGCCTCCAGCCTTAGAGCTCTCTCCCTCACATGCACACACAAGCCGCTTTTCTAACTTGGAACCCTCAAGAAATTGCTGGCATTCTCAACACTTCTTGGAATAACCAAAGAGCAGAGGGGGAAAGTAGGCAAGGAGAATGCTGTTTGTAGGAACCCACACCATGCAACTAACTTAGAAAACAGGAAGGTGTCATCTCCTAAGGCCAAGTGCATACACCCAGGACCCTGAAAATTCTCGAGTATAAACCTGAGTGACTTGAACTAGACTGTAATAACCTCAGCAGTATCATTCACAACAGCCCAAGTGCACATGTCACACCTGATGGTGGTGCAAGAATCATCACACAAACTTCTAGCTGCTGGAAGTCTTTTAAAAAAAAATATCTTATTGTTTTTATTTTATGTGTATGCATGTATTGCCTGCGTGTACGTAAGTGCACCCATGTTGTGCAGCGTCCATGGAGAACAGAAGAGACTGTCAGATCTCCTGGAACTGGAGTTTTGGACAGTTGTTAGCTGCCATGTGGCTGCTGGAAATCTTAATCTAGGCATATACACATATTTTTCAGAACTCATTAAACTCTACTTAAATTTTTAACTGAAGATCTGTGCATTTCAATGTATCTATACAATAAAAATGTGTCAGGGTGACACCTGGCTACTCACCCAGGATCTCCTCTTAGCTGTGAAGGAAAGAAAACACTTCTACTTATCTCCAGGTCAAAGTACAGTTGGTACAGCTCAAAAGTGCTCTGAAAATAGGCTAAATTGTATCTAAACAAAGCTGGGTGCAAACAATGTTTTCAGTGTGACTATCTCTGTTTGTAACATCTGCATTATTTCTTTGTCTCCAGCCTCTATCTGGGTTCACAGGGGCTTGAGGGCTGCTGGCCACCCACCTCACACTTGGTCAAATGACCAAGGCTTGTGTCTTCACAGAAAGGTATTTCCACTGAACAAAATGTTCTCAGAATCCCATCTCTGGGGTCTATTAAAAGCAGTAGAGTGATTAGATCATTTGGGGTCCTGTGTCTGAAGAGATTCTCCTAAGAGATATTGCAGGGTGGTTTCCCTCTTTGCCTATTTTCATTTGGGGAACACAGTGTTTTGGAAACTGAACCTGTGAACTCAGATCCACAGAGCCCTTCCTCTCTCATCCCTAAAGTTGCTTTTTCTTTTCCTTGAATTTTGCTTTATTAATACCTCTGCCTCCCGGGCCTTGTTTGTCTATATGTTTATGATAACCAAGGTTCAGGGTGCTCACGGTCAGCCCTATCTTTCTTGTCCTGGCATTTCCTGAAAGGAGTCCAAAGGATAAGGTGTGTTTATAAAAGGCCATGTCTTACAAAAGGCCACAGCCAACCCAGTGGGCATGACTGGAAGTCCCAGGGTAGCACAGTAAGTGGCAATGTCATCTGGACAGGGAGCAAAGCAGGGATGGGGCAGCTTGGGCTTCCAGAGGACAGGCTCAAAAAGGAGAGGTGACTGTAGAGGATCAAGCCCAAGATCCCAGGATGGTGCTGCCTATTTCTCTATACCTTGAGAGGCCTCAGACCCTGGGTCTCCATCTTTTGGGAGCGCCCTGCCCTGTGCAGCCCAGTCTTCTGGGCTTCTGGTCACATGCCCTGCTGGGTATGCTCTAGGACTCCCTCCTGCTAGCCTCACCCCTGTGTCTGTGATGTCAATGGGTATCTGTTTTCATCTGTGTAGATGCTGCTCTACTGGACCATCAGCCTTCTGCTGGCCACGGTCAAAGGTAAGGATGCTATCATCATCCCTTTAGAGAAAAAGGGCTGGATATCATGGGTGTCAAGATGAATAAGTGGCATCTCTGCAGAGTTTATAGGCACTTGATATTGAGAGCTGTGTGATGGGTACTGGGCTGGCTGGGAGCTTTCTACACTGTTTCATTGAAGATGAATGAGTCATGAACTTTCCTGATGATATGGCGCATTTAATAAACCTGCCATTTGCAGGGCCCCACCTAGGACTCTCTGAATCTCTGAGGGAAAAGCCTGGGAGCGTGATATGCCAGATACACACCTTTACCCCCACCCAAGTGGCTCTTAGCACCACAGAAGTCTAGGGAACAGAGGTTACAAAGATGAAGACCAGCCTGTCTGGGGTCCATCCTGAAGAATCTTGTTCCTTCCCAGAACCTTATACATATCCTGTCTGTGGCTCTTCCTCCCCCAGGGGGTGAGATCTGCTATGGACATCTTGGCTGCTTTTCCAATGAGAAGCCTTGGGCAGGGACACTTCAGCGGCCTTTGACAATGTTCCCCTGGTCCCCCGAGGACATTGGTACCCGCTTTCTTCTGTACACAAATGAAAATCCAAACAACTACCAAGTAAGAGTGGGTGTGGGTGTGGGATGACTGAATTGGATGGTAAGTTAGTTTGGGCTCCACAGTAGAGCCACCCTATTGCTGATTAGGGCATAATTGACACTTTGGAAATGTCCCCATAAGAGACCTAGAATCAAACTGGGCATGGTGATGCATACCTTTAATCCCAGTATTTGGGAGGCAGAGGCAAGCAGATGGAGATCTCTGTGAGATCAAGACCAATCTGGTCTGTAGAGCAAGTTCCAGGCTAGCTGAGGCTACAGGGAGACCCTGTCTCAAAAAAAAAAAAAATAAGGGAGATGAGAGAGAGAGAGAGAGAGAGAGAGAGAGAGAGAGAGAGAGAGAGAGAGAGAGAGAGAGAGAGAGAGAGAGAGAGAGAGAGAGAGAGAGAGAGAGAGACTGAGACTTAGAGTCATCTCTAGGAAGCAAAGCTCTGAGTGTCTGAGAAACACACAGCTAGAAGTCCAGAAATGCACACACTCCCATACACAGGTGTGAAGGTCTTCAGGGCCACCCCAGCATCAGCACCATGTCTCCTGAGAGAAAGAAAGCAACAGGTGAGATTTATGGAGACTCCCAGGTGCACCCAGTTGAGACCTATCCCTTTCTCACCTAGGGATGGAGTGGGTGAGGGATATAAACCCTTCCTGAGAATCTAGAAGAGGCAGAGAAGAGGGGACAGTCAATCACAAAGGATTTGAAAAGATGAGGTCCCTGGACCTCATGGACCAGATGCCTGTTTCATGGAAAGAAGCAGGACAGGCCTGTTCTGAGTGATCAGAAGTGACCAGGAGACAATTCAGTGATGACTCTATGAGGTGTCCAAGCTGCTCCATCTTTGGTCCCTGACAGTGCAGACAGTCAGGTGTCTGCCTCTAGGTGCCTGGGGTTTCCCACTGTGGGACTTTATGTTACAGATTCCCCACTTGGTTCTTCCAGCCTGGAAGCTGTAAAGACACAGAAGCTGTCTTTAGTGTTTGCTCCTTCTACTGTTTGTCCTGGAGCCTGGCAGAAGAGTCCTGAGCAGGCCCCTGGGAGTCTGTTCTACAGTCTCCAGGCCTTCTAGAGCTGGAGCTCAGGCCTATGCCTTTGGGCCAAGCTTTCCCCCATTTTCCCTATGCTGGAAAGCCTTTTGGCTACCTGAGGAAGCCTAAGGGCCCTTCTCAGAAGGATATTTCTAAATGCATAAAATGAAATATAATGGATTACAAAGGAAATCAGATTGAAACACAGTCACCAGAACATTTAAAAATAGAAAATACGGGACCAAGTATTAAGTATGCTGCTTTACCATTTCAATCCAATATCTAAAGCAAAATCTAATAATTGCTGTAATTAAGGAGCAAGGAGAGTAAATGATGCTCTGAGATATTCACAGCTACCATGTGGCCTGAAAATGTCTGTGACTTCAATGGAGAAATCAAGTCATGGGTGTTACCAATCCCACTGTGGTTTGTTGCCTAGTCTTATGGTTAACAAAAAGACTAGACTTTGGTTTGAGGTTCATGAAAACAGAAAGGCAGTGAACTCGCACTTTCTGAATTCCAGCCACACTCTGTTTCTGGAATTCCTCATAGGACCCAGTTTCAGGGTAGCTGGGCCTGGGATCCCAGGCTCCTTTGGACTGACTATCGCAGGCCCACAGATGGGAAAGACCAACAGTCAGGTTCATCTTGTCTAATTAAACCAGGTGATCACTGCCATTGACCCAGTCACCATTGAGGGCTCCAACTTCCAAATGGACCGCAAGACACGCTTCATCATCCATGGTTTCACAGACAAAGGAGAAGGGGACTGGCTGACAGACATGTGCAAGGTAGTGGCCCATCCTCCTCACCTGGTCACTTCCTGGGGAAACCGTACCCAATCTAAATACCCTTGATGTCCCCGAGATCAGGAAATGAAATACTCAAGGGAGAGACAGATCCCTCCTAAAAACCACTAAGAAAAGCCTGTGTCTCAGGGGTAGCCATTGCCAAGTTCCCCCTATCCACAGTTTGCTAGCCAGCAAGTCTCAGGGGTGGGGATTGCACATACTACCTGATACATTATCTCTGATCTATGTGTGACATAAAAAAGAAACAAAACAACAACAAAAAACCCCACTTACATGTGCTAGTGCCCCTGAGGACAGAATTAAGGACAGTACAGGGTAGGAATTTGCTTGCTTCTGATCCTGTGACCCTTTTGACCTAGCTATGAGACCCGAGACCAGGCACTCAATCACCTCAGTTTCCATATCTGTTTAAGTAGGATGAACACACTCCGTTCACACAGCTTCACCAAGGGCTGTGGCATGGAGGAGGGAGACTGAAACTGTGATATCAACCAGGCACCTGATGGGTGAACACTTTGTCTCCAAGGTGTGCAACTGGGCCTGTTGATGAAATTCTCAATCTCTCTCTGTCTCTGTCTCTATCTCTGTCTCTGTCTCCACCCCCCACCCCCAGGATATGTTTCAAGTGGAGAAGGTGAACTGTATTTGTGTGGATTGGAGGCAAGGGTCCCGGACCACATATACCCAAGCCACCTACAACACTCGGGTCGTGGGCGCAGAAATTGCCTTCTTAATACAAGTGCTGTCGGTAAAGCCCTGCCCGAGTCAAGACAGGGGTGGCATTAGAGAGGGGGGAGGAAGCACCACCTTGCATACAGAGGTGCTGGGGTTCCAAGTCAAGTATCCAAGGTCTTCAGACCCCTCCTGGGGTGAAGCAGCACCGTGTCCTAGCTATGGGGCGTGGGAGCCTCAGTTTCCCCTTTCGAAAGCTGACTAACAAACTGTTTTGGGAAATGAGAGCAAGCCAGACTGTCTAGAAGTTCTCTCTGTGGAAGTCGGGTCTTGGCCTTCATCCTTGACAACATGGGATGGGTGTGGGGTGGGGACTTGCTCTTGGCTCGGTTCCTTTTGGAGAGGCTAAGTCTCTCTCCAGCAGCCGGCCCTTACTACTCGGGCGGAGGGCAGCGCCAGCAGGAGGACAGCAGGTGGCGGCAGCGTCCCCACCAGCGAGGCGGCCTGCAGTTAGCGCGGCAGCCGCTGGCCAGCACTGTTGCCGAGCGCTCCAGCTTGGAACCCTCCAGCCGCCCTGCAGCAAGCAATCCCGCCCCGGCGCAGTTCTAGGTGGCGTTCCCCCAGGCCTCCAGCTGGGTCCAAACCCCATCCCCTGGCAAGGGCCAGCATCTCCTCCTGGACCCTCGAGTTCTCATGCAATCCTTGGAGACCTAATGCTCCCTCTCTCGGCAGACTGAGCTGGAGTACAGCCCCGAGGACGTGCACCTCATCGGCCACAGCCTGGGAGCGCACGTAGCCGGGGAGGCGGGCAGGAGGCTGGAGGGCCACCTGGGCAGGATCACAGGTAGGGTTGTGCAGGTCAGCCTGGGGTTCCCAGATGTCCCCGGGGTATGGGTTGGGGAAGCCTAGACCAGACCAGAGCACGTGTCCTCTACTGGCTCTGCTGGTTTTAGATGATACCCATGATACCCTAACTTTAAAAAAAAAAAGTGTCCTTGTATCTTAATGCGTATTAGAAAATCACTGATTGTAGATAAAAATGCGCTTGTAAAATAAGAAAAATGTAAGTAACACATGAATCCTGACTTCAGAGATATTTCTGCTGGAATGTGGCAAAGTAAAAAAAAAAAAAAAAAAGCAAAAGGATTTTTTTTTAATGCATCATTTCCGCAAATATTTCTTGAATGTTTTTGCTCTGGCAGGCACAGGCAAAAAGAGACCTGCCACTTAGGAAGTGCTCAGTGATTGAATGAATGAATGAAGAGTGGATGGATGAATAATGATTAGGTAGAGTAGATGCATACAAGATGAAAGGAAAACAGCTATTTATTTTGTGCTGTCACACCGGTAAGTAAGTTTGGCCCCTTGCTCCTGGCACTAGATTGAATGTCAGTGGTTCATAATTGTGTAGAAGTTTTCAGTTTGTAAGGGACTTTCTGTCACATCTTCTTGTGAGACTTTCACAACCCTGTAGGAGAGGTTATTCCCCCTTTCTAGATGAAGGTGGACACCTGACATTGCACAGAGTCAGGACAAGAACATATAGGTCACCCCATACTTGCTTCTCTTTGAAGATGAAACAGGCACAGTCTGCTTTCAGGAAACCCGTGGACCAGTCCAGGATGCAGAAAATTAAGTAGACAAATAAAATTCAAAGCAAAATTAATAAGCACAAAATAGGGAAGCTAGACTGGTCTGTGAAGGGAAAGACTGAATGTTCTATGAGGCTGTTTTTGAGCTGGGGTTTGGGGAAGGAAGATTAGATACATGGAGAATGTGAGGAAGGGCACAGAAGGCTGGGGAACAGCATAAGAAAAGACACAAAGTCATAGATGTATGGGTCTCAGGGACTCAGGGGGAGGAGGCAGATGGGTGAGGCCAGGGAGCTTGGGATCTCTGAGAGCAATGATCAAGTGCTATTGTGTGAGAAAAAATAGGAAAAGGGAAATGAGAGGTGAGTGTTCTACCCAGATCCTCCATGGAGCAGGCACTGGGGATGACTGAGTGTTCTTCAGGCAGCACCCCTGTTCCTGGCTCTTCTGCCCTAGCTTCTTTCCCAAACAGACCAGGAGGCGCAGGCCCATTTCTCAGAGTCCTAACTGCTGGGGTATGAGGCTCTTTGCCCAGAACTCCTTATGCTCTGTTTGTGGTTCGAGACTTGGAGCCTATTCTTCCTTAGTGTGCATTTGGCCCACCGCCTTCCTACCTTTCAGGGCTGGATCCTGCAGAGCCGTATTTCCAGGGCCTGCCTGAGGAAGTTCGGCTGGACCCATCAGATGCCATGTTTGTAGATGTGATTCACACAGATACTGCCCCCTTCTTCCCCTCCTTAGGTGAGTTCCTCAGCCCCACCTCTTTGATGACCTGTGACTTATGACATGGGGTCCAGGTGGCCCCCACCCCATCACTCACACAGCTGCAGAGAGGCTAGTGAAAATGGCTAACTATAGGTTAGATCCCTACCAGTCAAACTGGGTGTCAGCCACAAACATTGAGTACAGTGCCAATGATATCAGCCTGTGGCCCCAGAATGGACCAGTCTAGGGAAGCTGTCACTCGATCTTCAAGCTCAGCATCCTGCCCTAGATTCAAAGTCACAGACATGCTATTTTCACTTGATCTGACTGAAAAGTAAGAACTTAATTTTTGATTTTTAAAAAAATTGGCCAGGGCTGGAGAGATGGCATAGCGGTTAAGAGCACTGACTGCTCTTGCAGAGGACCTGGATTCGATTCCCAGCACCCACGTGGTGGCTATGAACCATCCTTAACTCCAGTTCCCGGGGAATCCGAAGCCCTCTTCTGACCTCCGCAGCATTGCACAACACGGGTGCACTCACATACGTGCAGGCAATACACTTATACACATCAAATAAACATTTTTTAAAAATTGGCCAAAGTTTTGTTCTTCTAAAATCTGTATTTTTTTTTTGGTACTTTACATTGCACAACTCGAACCCTTAAGCCCCTTGGGCTGATCATTTTGCTCATAACAATGTAACCTACAAAGTGAATATTGTCAACATTTCACAGCTCAGGAACTGAGGCTCATTGAGATTAAATAATTCAGAAAGATTATGAAGGTTATAAGTAGAACCAAGGTTTGATCACAAATCTGTGCACCTCAAAAACTAAAGTTCCTGGACATTATTCAAACACTCAAGAAAGAGCAAAATAATGCTATGTGGTCTCACTATAGTAATATAGTCTAGCGGTCTGAGGATGTATCTTGGCTGTAGAGAATTTGTGTAGTACACTCAGGCCCTAAGTTCTATAGCCAGCAACACAAATTTGTTTAAAATATTTTACTTATTATTTTTATTTTATGTGTATGAGTATATTACCTGCATGTAGGTAAGTGCACTTGTGTCAGACGAGGGCTTCAGATCCCCTGGAACCAGAGTTACAGATGGTTGTTAGCTATTATGCAGATGCTGGGAATGGAACCAGGGCCCTCTGCTAGAGCAGTCAGTGCTCTTAACTACTGGGCCATCTCTCGGTCGCTAGCACCACAAATTTTTAAAATGCAATGCAGAGAGCTGGAAACATGGCTCATTGGTTAAGACCACATAGTACTCTTGCAGAGGACCTGAGTTTGGTTTCCAGCATTTCTGTTTGGTGGTTCCAGAGTGATTTGATGCCTCTGGCCTCTACGAGCACTCACATGCACTTAACACACACAGATATTCACACATACACATATTTAAAAATAAAATACAAAGCCAGGCATAGTGGCACACTTGTTTAATGCCAGCACATGGAGGCAGAAACAGGTAGATCTTTATGAGATTGAAGAGAGAGAGAGAGAGAGAGAGAGAGAGAGAGAGAGAGAGAGATCACAAAATTTAAAAATGCATACTATAATACAAATTGTACTGGATGTGTGCTTAATGGTATCAGATGTATCAGTATTGTCCAGGGCCTCCCAAAGATGGACAGATAGGTACCTATAGATGTGTGCACACTTACCCAGACAACACATTCCTCCCATCTCACTTCTGTGTTGCTCCTTCCTCCTTGTCACACCAAGTGCCCATCTCTGAGAACTTTCTATAGAGTTGAGGGTTCTATGTCTGTGCTAATGTAAGAAGGCTTGTGAATTGAACATCCCACTGAGGCCAAGATGTGACTTTGGAATCAGAAATGTTTCTGCTCACTTCTGCTTCAAATGTTTCAGGTTTTGGGATGAGTCAAAAGGTGGGCCATCTGGACTTCTTTCCAAATGGAGGAAGAGAAATGCCCGGATGTCAGAAAAACATACTTTCAACCATTGTTGACATAGATGGAATATGGGAAGGTATGTATATGGAAGAAGTCAGGCAGCACCGGCTGTGCTGGGGGTAAAAGCAGCACGCGTCAGGCTTGCCACCATAGCAACTTATTTGCCACCATTCACGTTGAGCTTGTTCTGAGCTAGGCATTTTTATAACAATGCACTGAGATACTTCCTCCAATTTGCCCTACCTCACCCATGCAGACACTGGGCATCTGAAAAGTTAAATACTTTGTCCAAGGTTGTACGATAGTTAAGCCTAGTTTCTTACTGTAGGCCCTGAGCTCATGCCTTGGTTGCCAGGGTGCCAGGGTAGGGGCTAGACAGACTAAGTGGTAAACACTCACCTCTGGCTTCAACGCTGCGTCCTATTTTTAGCTCCTGAAAGAATTGCAAAGCATGAGCAAGGATTCAGAGGTGCTGTCTTTCTTGCTGTTGGCTGTGTCGGGTCCTGGGGACTGAGCTGATTAGAAGGGGACTTGGAGTGTACGAATGACAGGGAGGTCGGGGGACTGTGGTGGCTCCTTGAGACCTGTGTGTCTTTCTGTTCATCTAGAGAGCAGGACTTGTACCCCTAACATTAGATGGCATCCGGTACTATCAACACTGTCTCTTGTTCTAACCTTTGATTGTTCCCTTTGTCCCTCCCCTCGTCACTGTCCTCTCTGAACGAAGAGTCTTTGGGTCAGTAATCATTGTATTTGTCTTTACTTTTCTGAACAGGGAGCTCCCTGTGGCTGAGATCTTAGAGACACCCCTAATACCCCAGTACCTGGCCCCGGCCCAAAGCAAGCACCAAGTACACTCTCTTGAGTGGCTTCTTTGGGCCTTTTAATGTCCTGTGGGCTTAATGTCAGCAAGTTGGATGAATAAAACTATGGCCAGCATCTAATGACAAATAAACAGAGCCTTTGCCCTCTCAGCCCCTCACCAGGTAACTCCCAGGAGGATGTGACCGATCTGCTCACCCTGAAGGAGCCAGAGTTGCGATAATAGCTATTCCCTCCAGAAGTGACAAGCAGGGCACACACAATAGCAGAAAGCCCAAGTTTAATTAAAGAGGCAATTTAGAGTGAACCAGCCTATGAGCGCAGAAGTACGTTTCTATTGTGTGCAGTGCCAGTCATCCAGGCGCTGGGCACTGGGAACAATTAAACCCCCTTTCTTCTCTATTAGGGGGTACTCGGGCAGCAATTTTGGATGAAAGAAACAATTAAGTTTAAAGCAGGTTCTGTTGTCTGCTAAGGAGTACTGGTGTGGTCATTCAGAACCGCCTGGCTTAGCTGGAGGACCCTGGGCCATGAGCACAAGGCAGGGCTGGGAGCTGAGAGAGCAAAGCTACCTGGACCACAAAGGAAACCATTCCTTTCTTGATGAGTGACTTCCAAGAATGGTCCCTGGTCTGTCCTGGGTCCCTATAGACCCCTCCAGGGGAAGTTTTATGTCAAGTAGCTGGAGAAATGAAAGGTGATTTTCAAAATATGTCAAAGATGGCAAATGAAATGCAGCGGAAGGCTGGTCAGAAGCACCCGGTGCTCAGCATAGCAGAGAGGGAGGCTTGCTTGGCCCAAGAAAGGTCAGCCCACAGGAAAGGCCTGTCCAGTGCAGCCTAGGGTCTTCCCACATGGCAGAATGCACAGCACAGCAGTGTCTGATGGGACGACACAGGGATTGCATTTTAAAATGGAAAGCACTACGGTCACTGAATGGGTGAAAAGATTTTCACATAAAAAATTTTTGTCATGAAAAATCAGGAGACCAAGCAATTTGGGCCTTTAACATGTATCAACTAGCTAGGCAGGATCCCTTTAAAATCTATTAGCTCTCTCTCTCTCTCTCTCTCTCTCTCTCCCTCTCTCCCTCTCTCTCTCATCTTTCCTCCCTCCATCACTCCATCTCTCTGTCTTTCTCTGTGTGTCTCTCTTCTATGAGAGACAGTGACAGAGAGACAGAGACAGAGACACGGAGGTCCCTTAGTATCACAGGTATTCCAGGACCCCCACAGATTGAAACTCGTGACTGCGCAAGTCCTTTACATAAATAGTGTATGTAGTTCTTGCATATAACCTACCGTGCTGGTTAGCTTCAGACATCAACTTTACGTCACACATAAAAACACCTGGGGAGAGGAACCTCCATTGGATTGGCCTATGCCCATGTCTGTGAAGCATTTTCTTAGTTACTGATTGACATAGGAATGCCTAGCCCACTGTAGGTGGTACCATCCCTGGATCTATGGCCCTGGGCCACATAAGAGGGGTAGCTGAGCAGACCATGGGGAAGCAAGCCAGTATGCAGCGCTCCTCCATGATCTCTGCTTCAGTTCCTGCCTTGAGTTCCTGCCTCAGTTTCCCTTGATGATGAACTGTGATTGGGACATGTATGATGAACTGTGATTCAGACATGTAAGCCAAATAAACCCTTTCCTCACCAAGCTGGTTTCGGTCAGCATTTTATTATAGTAACAGAGAGCAAACTAATGTGCTTACACAATCCTCCTGCGTATTTAAATCATCTCTAGATTATGTATAATACCCGATACAATGTCAACACTGTACACAGCTGTTGTGCAATGTTGTTCAGAGAATAAGGACAAGGAAAGGTCAACACATGCTTGGTACAGCCACAGCCATCACAGTCCTAACTGTGTGGTCCATTCAGGGGAGCTGAATCCAAGGGTACAGAGCTCATAAGTAAGGAGGGATAACTCTCTCTCTTTCTCTCTCTCTCTCTCTCTCTCTCTCTCTCTCTCTCTGACTATATGTATGTGTGTGTCTCTGAAAAGAAATATATGTGTATATGAATGTGTATTCTACTTTTAAAAGCTGTTGCTTTGTCTTTAAAAGATTTTTTTAAATCTTGGGGCTGGAGAGATGGCTCAAGAGAGTTCCATTCCCAGCACCCACATGGCAGCTAACAACTGTCCAAAACTCCAGTTCGAGGGGATCTGACACTCTCTTCTGGCCTCTGTGGGCATTGTATAGCACAGGTGCACTTACGTACATGTAGGTAAAACATTCATATGCATAAAAATAAAAAGATTTTAAAATTCTGTTATAGTCTGTCTTTCTATGTGTATACAGGTTTTGTTTGTGTCTCTCTCTGCCCTCCCTGTCTCTTCAGCTCTAGCTTTGTGTCTCTCTCTGCCCTTCCATTCTACTCCATCCTCCAGTCTTCTCATATACGTTACATATATGTTACATGCCCTCAACAAGCCTGCTTGCCGGGACTGGTCGCTCCCCAACCGGTGCCTGACCCCGAGCACGCCTCCTCAGCACATGCCCTAGAGGCTTCAGAAGTGAGAGGCATGGATGCCGCTTCTTGCCCACTCTGAGTGGTTGGCATGCCAAAGGGGAAAACCCTTCTCTAACTCCTGCTGCCTTTGCTGTATCAGGAACGAGCAACTTTATAGCCTGCAACCACCTCCGGAGCCACAAGTATTACTCCAGCAGCATCCTCAACCCCAACGGCTTCCTGGGCTACCCCTGTGCCTCCTATGAGGAGTTTGAGCAGGTGGGTCATACCAGGGCTCTGAAGGGGGCAGTGGCTCTCCTCACGTTGCTGAGCCCTGTGGCATAGACTAGATAAAAAAGATGCATGTGACTCTACACACATGAGCAGGGAATTGCTGAGTTTTCCAAAGTCACCTTCCTCCAGGAGCAGAGCTGGCTGTGCTTGAACTCCCTGGGGCCCCCAGCTTTTCATTTATGGCGATCCCCAGTCTACATGGAGGTTGAAAGAGGAGCACATAAATGCCAGTTACACCCATCACTTACGCATGCCAATTTCTAACGTTTCATACATGTGCATATATCTGTACTGTGTACCTTAATGTGAAAGTGAATTAAACATATTAGGACACCTTATTCTGTAATCATCTCCAAAGAACAAGTCCTCTTAGAAAACAACATTCAAGAAATTCACCTTTGATATACTAATATTTTTCATGTATAGACCATAGGCAAACCTTCCAGTTATCTAAATAATGTTCTCTATAACTGCTTTGGCCTGTCTGCTGTCCCTCCTTCCCTCCCTCCCTCCTTCCTTCTCTCCTTCCTTCCCTCCCTCCCTCCTTCCTTCCTTCCTTCTTCATTTCTCTCTTCCTTTTGTCTTGCTTTCCTCCCTCCCTCCTCTCTTTCCCTTTCTTTCCTCTCCCCCCTTTCCTCCTTCCCTCCCTCTGTCTTTCCTTCCATCTCCCTTCCTCTCCTTCCCTCCTTCCCCCTCCTCTCCTTCCCCCCTCCCTCCCTCCTTCCCTCCCTCCCTCCATCTTTCCATCCCTTTCCTCTGCATTACATTTATTGCCTTACTTCTTCCATCCCCTTTAACCGAGATCAGCTCTGCCTTTTTTCTTAGTCTTCCGGGACATGGACAGTTATGAGATCAGGTATTTGGTAGAAGGTCCACGCTCTGAAATAATTTTGTGTGTGGGGGGGATTTTTTTAGTGTTTGATATTGAGTCCTTCTTGTGCATCACACCAAGAACATTTATTTAATGGTATTTGAGTACTTAGTTAGGGTCATGTCTTCTAGGTTTCTCTATTATAAAAGTACAAGTTCTCCTAAATAATCTATTAGGTGATATTGTTGTCCGGACATTTCCAAAGTAAACCTCTGGTGAAAGGTTTGAGTTCCTGCTGGTGCTCCTCACCTAGATCACTTATGGCACTAGGATTGCAAAACTCTGATTTTTTAAAATGTTTTATCGAGGAAGAACACATATTTAAATATGCTTTGTTTCAAAACTAACTTTGACTTTGACATCCTGAGGTATAACAAGATCAGAGTGACCTCATATCTGATCCCCATGGCCTGTGATTATCTAGTGAGTAGCCTTGACTGCACTGGTCACTGCTATAGACTAGGCCATACTGCGGCCTCAGCACCTGTCTGACACTTCCCAAACATCACACCATGTATTTTAGATGAGGTACGAGGTCAAAACAGAAGCAGAGATGCTGTGTCAGAAAGCACTTGCCCAGTTGAAGGTTCGATTAGTGAGCAGCCATTTAGGGAGCAGCAGATGGGAATCAATCAGTCTGGTGATGTCACTCACACTGAAGTAAAAGTGAACATGGATCTTCCTTTCCTCTTTTCTGTAAAATAACTTCTTGTCTTTCCCATTTACTTCTTCCTAGTGACACTGTCTTGTGTTCCCTTTTCATGTTGCGTCTTATTGTGTTTCTTCCTATATGATTTGTCTCACGGCTGTACTCCAAGTCTTCAAGGGCCTTTCTTGAGTAGTCTTCAGTTCTATGCAAAGCTCTGAGGATGAATGCATGAGCCCACTGGTACAGGAGTGCATAGATGAATAAATACACGCATGCTTGGGTTAGTGGAGGGGAGGATGGATGAATAAAACAGTGGGTGGGCAATTGAGAGGACAATTGAGAGATGGATAGAAATAGACAGGTGGTAGAAGATAGACTGATTGATCGATTGATAGATATATAGATGGATGGATGGATAGATAGGGATAGATAGACAACAACGCACAAAAAATAAATAGAGAGATGATAGATAGATGATAGATGATAGAAGATAGATAGATAGATAGATAGATAGATAGATAGATAGATAGATGATAGAGATAGATAGATAGATAGATAGATGATAGAAGATAGATAGATAGCTGATAGCAGACAGATAGATAGATAGATGATGATAGATAGATAAATAGATAGATAGATATAGATAGATAGATAGATAGAACTGAGAGGGAGAGTCAGGAAAAGGGATATTACTAACATATTATCTCTTTCCACTAGAATGGTTGTTTCCCTTGTCCAGCTGAAGGATGTCCCAAAATGGGGCACTATGCTGACCAATTTAAGGGGAAAACCAATGCGGTGGGACAGACTTTCTTTCTGAACACAGGAGATAGTGGTAACTTTACTCGTAAGTTTACATTTTATTTAAAATTTTCTGAAAACAATTTTTAAAGATGCGTGACCTTTGTTAGTGAAGATCTTCAGTAGCAATGAACAAAAACGCATCTACTTCCAGCTTAAGCTGTGATGTGAGGGGAATGCACCGGCATTTGCTTTGGGTCTCTCATTGACTCTTTAGCCAATAATCCTCATGAGAGGCTTAAGAAAGAAAAGTCAGTGTCTGAGTCACATGTCCACCTACCCATGACAGAGAGAAGGCATCTGTGACTGTGGGAAGAAGGCAACTGAGGCAGAGTGGTTATGTCAGAAAATCACCACAGTGACAGCTAGTACACACACACATGCATACATATGCACCGTGCATACATGCACACACGCTATGCATACATGCACACACATACATGCACACATACACACATGCATACACACACTATGTGTGCATGTACATGCACTCATACACACGATGCATACATGCACCCATACACGCATACATGTAGATACAGTAATACACTATATACATGCATGTACATACATACACATATGCATACACACTATGCATACATGTACATATACTCATGCACACACATACACATTATTATCATGGTTTTTATTTTGCTCAGTTTCTAATTTAAAAATACAAAATAGTAAAAACTTAAAGACTAATTTGCCATTAGTAGTATCAGAGAGTAGCTGGAAATAAGCCTTATTTCGATGGGATATTTAAATTGAAAAATTACATGGTATTTTACAAAGCACTTCACACACAATACTTCATGTAACCATCTATTGTCATAAAACAGAATAACTTGGTAGTACCTATAAAGTCTTAACATACACATTCTTTTGACCCAGTCACTCTGCTTCTCAGAACAGTCTATAGAAATGTGTTCAAAGATGCTCGCTCATAGCATTGTTTATTAATATTTTATTTTGATTATTTTATTTATGTATTTATTATGTATATGTGTGTATTTATGTATTTATTAATGCATATGTGTGTCCGTTTTAATACCAAAAGATTGAGGAGAAAAATCTAAATGTTGATCAATTGGAAAGGAATTAAATACGATGAATAACCCCTAAAAAAGGACACAGCTCTATAAATACAAAGGCAGGTTAGGTGGAAAGGCAAAGAACAAAATAACACATAAGCACGCCTTAGCCAGTTCAGGCAGTTACAACAGTATTTTTTAAACTAGAAGCTGGCCAGGGTCTGGGAGCTTTATAAACACTTATGTATTTCTCATGTTCCTGGAGGCCAGAAATATTAGGTCAGCACACCAGCATGGCCAGATTCTGGTGCATACTGCCATCTCCCCATAGCATCCTCAGGGTACAGAAAGCGTTGAAAGAGCCTTTGGGAATCCCTTTTATAATTTCATCTATAATGGTTCTGCCCACATGATCTACTTACCTCCCAAAGGCCCATCTACTAATTCTATCACATTGACAGGATTTCATCATGCGAACTGGCATGGGGGAGGGGGCACACACATAAGCCCATCACCTCATGTGTTAGTCAAGGATGTGTGTAGTAAAGTGCTGCCCCTTGTTCATCAGGGAACATACTACGCTGTGCTTAGCTGTAGTGTTTCCTGTCTTCTGAGTCTCCTCACCCTAACCCAGAGTCTGAACTCATGGGCCAATTCCATAGAAGGAAACCACTAGTCACATCCCCTTTACCTCTTGCCCACAGAGGATTCAGAACTTAGAAAATTAAAGCTTCTAGTTGGATCTTTTTTTTTCTCAACAAGAGAAGTTCATTGAACTGATGTACTTCTTGGGACAGGTTGGAGATATGAGGTGTCAGTCACATTGTCTGGAGCAAAGGAGCAGCAGGGGCACATTTGGGTTGCTCTGTATGGAAGTAATGGGAACTCAAAACAGTATGAGATTTTCAGGTAAGTTCCGTGGTAAATGAAATCGCCAAGCTTTCCATAATAGATGACTCATAAAGGTTCCCTACTTTGTAAAGTTAGGTATCTACTTTATAGAACCACTGAATCCTGGTCTGTCAGGCTGGCAGGAAATCTCCACACCTAATTCAATCACCTCATTTTATATGGGAGAAGAGTGAGACCCAATTAGAGGGAACTCATTGTTTAAATAGGTTATGTACTTATTCCCTCTGGAATGCCAATTCCAGGAGTTAAGGGTGTGTGTGTGTGTGTGTGTGTGTGTGTGTGTGTGTGTGTGTGTGTGTGTGTGTGTGTGTGTGTGTGTGTGTGTGTGTGTAGTACTGGGAGTTGAACCCTAGGGCTTTCTGCATATTAGCACATGAGGCAAATACTTTACCACTGAGCTGCATCTCCAGCCCTCTTTTTAATCATTCTTGTTTTGGGGGTTGTTTTGTTTGTTTTGTTTTGAGACAGGGTCTCACTAAGTCACTTAGGCTGGCCTAGAACTCATTCTATAGCTCAGGCAGGGCTTGATCTTACAATTCTCCTGCCTCAGCTTCCTAAATAGCTAGAATTACCGGCTTGTACCAAGAGGCCTGGCTTGGTCTTTGTTCCATCTGTATGACAACTCTCTCCACATGTTCCCCTCCACACACACAAAGCCTGGGGTCAGAAGCTTATTGCTGTTATGATCTCAGACCCTGGCTTATGAGTGATGTAAGAAGAACTTGGTAGATACATGTTGAGTGAATATATAACTTATATACTGAAAATATATATGTGGTGAAAATTAGACTATTTTTGCACCAACTTTTATGGCTCAACATGTGAGTTTATTTGACAACTTCTGCTGCTACATTTGTGATGTTTACAAGTTGTGTTTGCTGAGCTACATGCATTTTAAAGCAAAAGACACTGCATCAATTTGTCCTGTAGCACTCAGAGTTACCAGGCACCCCCAAATATTTCACTTCTTTCTACAGACAAACTAAAACAATGAGACACTGAAGGCGGGCCATTTTAAGAATTCTATTCTGTATAGGTGCATTTGAAGCCCCTGGATATATTTGGAGTCTTTTTAGGTATTTGCAGAAAGCCAGCCACAGCCAGTATTTGGAGAAACAATAATTTCTATAATCTTGTGTATCCATGCATCCAGCTGATGAGTATTTATGTCTTTATCTCTTCAGTGGATCTCTCAAACCAGATGCAAGCCATGTGCATGGCATTGATGTGGACCTCAATGTTGGAGAAATCCAGAAAGTTAAGTTCCTTTGGAACAACAGTCAGATAAATCTCTTCCAGCCTGAACTGGGGGCTTCACAAATCACAGTGAAAAGAGGTGAAGACGGGACAGAGTATGTATCTTTCATCCCATCTAATCTGATTGTACATATTTATGTACCCATCTCTCAATCCATCCATCCATCCACCCATCCATCCATCCATCCACCCACCCATCCATCCATCCATCCATCCACCCATCCACCCATCCATCCATCCATCCATCCATCCATCCATCCATCCATCCATCCTTCTTGCCAGTCACTCTATATCCATCCATCTGGACTGAAGAGATGGTTCAGCTACTAAGAGCACTGACTGCTCTTGCAGAGGACCCAAGCTCGATTCCCAGCACCCACATGGTGGCTTCGAACCGTCCCTAACTCCAGTTCCAGGGGAATCCAAAGCCCTCTTCTGACCTCCGCAGCATTGCATGACACAGGTACACTCACATGCAGGCAATACACTCATACACATAAAATTTAAAAAAATAATGCACCCATCCTGCCGATCACTATACACCGTACATCCATCCTGCTGACGACTCACCTGTCCACCCACCTATTCCGCTGCCCTTTTCTGTACCTTTCCACCCACCCACCTGTCCACCCGGTTTCCCCATCCTTTGGAATGCCATCCAGTCGCTTTTCATCTTCCCATTCATCTATCAACTAACCCAACTGCTCATTCACCTTTCCACCTATCCATCTGATTGACTTTGAAAAATCAAGGCTGGAACTCAAGGCAGAAATTTGAAGGCAGACCTACTTGCTAGTTTACACAGCATTACCCTCCAACCAAGGAAGCACTTCATAGCCAAGGAAATACGGTAGGAAGCACAGAGAATGATGCTGGCTAGCTGGCTCATAGGCTGGCTTACATTCGGCTGGTTTTCTGGTATAGTCCGGGACTACCTACCTAGGGATGATAGCCCCCACAGTGGGCTGGACCCTCCTACATCAATTATCAAGACAATCCCCCACACACATGCCTACAGGCCAATCTGATCAATGAGAGTCCTTAATTAGGACTTTCCTCTGAGATGACTCCAGTCTGTGTCGAGTTGACAGTTAAATTTAGCTAGACCACCAACTAATTTTAAAATACAGAAAGGAAAAAGAAAGAACACCTCAAAAGAGAATACTCAGAAAATAATGAGATACTGAAACCTGAAGAAAATGTAGACGTGTTAGGGACAGTCCCCTCGGGACCAGTGGCTGATCGAAGCAGGAAACTCTGAGTTACAAGCTTTGGTTTGATATGGCTGATCCACTTTCAGCATTCTAAGGGCCCCTAAGATGAAGAGCGAGTTCCTGGGCAGGTCTTCTTAGCTGGAATCACTTGGGCCGTGCCTGGTATCCCAGAGCCTTTCAATCTGAGAAAGCAAATCCCAGAGTTCTCTAAATGCTGCTGATCCATCAAAGTCATGTGTCCACTGACAAACAATCCTGCCGCTTTCTCTCCACAGGTATCAGTTCTGCAGCAAGGACACGGTGGGTGAAGCTGTCTTACAGACTCTTTACCCTTGTTAAAGGTGTGGTCGGGCTCTTACCTTTTTATGAAAATAAATTTTTAATGCATTTGGTCTGAAGTTGAGGTGTAGCCTGACGTTCTTCATGTGCAAGGGTCACATTTTGGAAATGATTGCAGGATCTACAGGCAAGTTCACCACAGAAAATACCTGGAACTTCACACACACACACACACACACACACACACACACACACACACACACACCTCTGTCACACTTCTCTCTTTCGGGCACTTTATGTGGCCTGTGAACATGAATTTGGTTTCTTTACACAATGAAGTTCTGTCCTGTTGGAAAGGACATGTTACCTCCATATGTTGATTATCTACTTTTTAACCTCCTATGAATAGGAGCTAGATACCACCTAAGAACCAACCTCAACACCACTGTGAGTTGGGTTAAAATCCACCTGTGAGGCATGGTGGCACACACCTTCAATCCCAGCACCTGGGAGGCAGAGGCCAGCCTGGTCTACATGTGGAGTTCCAGGCCAGCTGAGACTACAGAATGACCTGCCTCAAAAACCAAACCACAAACAAAATCTACCTATGACATGAAAGGAAGGAGACATTAAAAAACAAGTTAATACCTGTATGGGGCATGACGTGTGAATGAGATAGAACAGTATTTCCACAAACAGTGAAGGCCTCTGCCCACCTGTCTTCAAGGTTCTCAGTTTTTCTTCCCAGAGATAACTTGGGTTTTTTTTTTCCAGAAATATTCTCCATATGCATATGTTCTATCTGCTCACCTCCCACTTTTTTGTTTAAACACAGATGGAAGAATACTATACATTCTGCTTTGCAGTTTGTTTTTCCATTCACAATAAACTGGGTATTATCTGATAGCACATGAAAGGCTTTCATTCATTGGGAAGCTTTGTAAATTCTATGATAGATAAACATGGCATGTATGGTGGGACCTGCTGATGAATAGGATAGATGCTTTCCAGAACTTTCCTATTACAACTGCCTCTACAATTAATATCTTTTTATTAATTTATTTCTTACTAGGAGTTTTTCTCAGGATGGGTACAGGGTAAACCTGGTGGACTAGAGTGGGATAGTCACTGTTCAATTCGTGGACTCCAGAAATGGCCTCATTTAGTAACTCCCATGAATTTAGTCCTGACGGTAGGGGCTGGTACTTGAAAGGGACCGCAGGTGGGTCTCCAGTTCGTGGAGTGGAGGTACATGAGCCCAGTGTCTCCAAGTCTTCAGCTCGTTCCCATTTTCTCATTCCTTTTCATGGTATTTTATAACTCCTTTTCCTTGAAATCTACCTAACACTTAAGCTCTTAGCCTGGTACAATGAAATAGGCCTTTATCTGAGACTTATTGAGACTTACTTTGAGGTAAGACCACAAAGTATGGTCCTGGGTACACATTAGAATCACGGTGGGGTTTTACAAGAAAGTGATATCAAGGGTGTACCCTAGATGCATCGCCACTTCTGGGCAAGAGTACCCATGTTCTTAAAGCTCCCAGGAAGCATGGAGAGGCAACTGGGTACACAGGCTTTAACATATAAGATAGAATGCAGGAAATCCTGTGGGTGGGCTATGAGGAAGTGCAGATAGGAGAGTTCTAAATGTATTGATTAAAATGTATAAAAAAAGGAGTTGGATGGGACTATCATAAAAATACATTGCATAAAATTCTCAAAGTTATCTTTATTAATTTTATCTTTATTTTTATGTTTTAATAGTGTGTGTGTGTGTGTGTGTGTGTGTGTGTGTGTGTGTATGAATGCAGGTGACTTCAGAGTCCAGAGGCCTTGGATTCAATGGAGCTGGAGTTATAGGTGGTTGTGAGCCACCCTATGTGGGTGCTGGGAACCAAATCCAGGTCCTCAGCAAGAGCAGTGAGTGCTCTTAACTGCTGAGTCGCTCCTCAGCCCCTGCGGATTACAATGGTGTGAATAAAGTTCTGAAATTGGCCCGAGGTGTCTTTGAATCACAGCTTCCTCTCGTTTTGCTGATTCTACTTCTTTTGGCCACTTAACTCCTCTGACCTCAGCACTCAGGAATGACAGTAGCTCTGCCACACAGGGTGACTGTTGGAATAAGACAAGCACGAAAATCACATTCCACCGTGGTTGGCACAGAACATACAGTCAATCCATAAAGCCAGAAGGGCTGGTTAGTATGAGTTATTCTTTTTTTTTAGAGTTATTCTTTTTAAAATATATTTATTTATTTTTTGTGTATGAATGTATTGCCTGTATGTAAGTGCACCCATTTTGAGCAATGCCTGAGAAGGTCAGAGGACATTGGATTCCTCTGGAACTGGAGTTACGAAGGGTTGTTAGCTGCTATGTGGGTGCTAGGAATCAAACCCAGTCCTCTGTAAGAGCAGTCAATGCTCTTAACCACCGAGCCATCTCTCTAGCCCTATGAGTTATTCTTTAAGTGTAACAGAGACAACAGAGATGAAGAGGTAAGCAAGCTATGGCCTTAGGGAAGGTATTAGAAGTAGGTACAACCAAGGACACTAGGGTAGTATTCAGATCACATAAATAAAAGAATGTTATAATGGAAAAATGGACAAAGACCATAAGCGGACAGTCCATACAGAGGCTGCCGTAGTCTGTGTTGCTATAAATAAATGCCTGATGCTGGGTAATGTACAAGGAAAAGAAGCTAATTTGTCTTACAACTCTGATATCTGGAAAGTCCAGATAGTATAATATTGGTATCTGGCAAAGACTGGGTCACAATATGAACAAGCAGATATATGTAGAAACAGAGAGAGTCAGAAAGTCAAACTGGCATTGTAATAATCCATCCTCATGGGAATTAACCCAGTTCCATGAGACCTGACCCACACCCACAAGAAGCCATCCGTCCCTTCCAACAGTGGAGTCCCTTTTGCCTAAACTCCTCCCAAAAGCCCACCTTTTAAAGATCCACCTCTCTCAACATCCATCCAGGGAACCAGCGTTCCATTCTGTGAACCTTTAGAAGATGAGTCACATCAGAGGAAAACTCAGGTACAAATGTTTGAGATTTAACCTCACTTGAGTAATCAGGATACAAGTGGAACCAAAAGGATAACCCCGTTGTCAAATTATGTGAAACTTAACATTACTAAAGGGCTAGAACAAACTGGGACCATATGCATCAACTTAGGTAGAGTTCCAAATGTCCTAGGGAGGGGATAACAAGTGTTGAGAAGACGCCATCAGGACACAGCCATTTTATACAGTTCATTCATAAAATATTAGTACTCACCACACAAGCTATTCAAAATACCAAAACAGCCTAGCAGGCCACTTAGAACTCTTAAGTGACCAGCAATATCATATCTATATTTCATTATAAAAGAAGCTGAAATAAATGTGATTAAAAGGTTTTCTCTTTTTTTTCCAATTGTAGGTAGTTATAGTGGTAGTTATCTGTATGTATTGTTTTTTTTCAGTTTAAATTTTCTTAACCAAATCTAAAAGAAAGGAGAAAAGTGGAGATGGGCTGATATTATGGAGACCAGGAGGGTTGCAGGAGCCCAATAGATGAAGTTAACAGTATTTGCAGTTCATCCAACTGTGACAGGTGAGAGGTGACTGAGTGGCCTTCAGTGGCTGACTCCCCCAAGAGGGGACCTGAGTCTCTATTGGATCCAGATCTTGATTTATCAGCCACCATTGCTGGGGTACACAGCAAGAGTTTCTTTCTCCCTCTCCTCCCCCCGCCCCCCATGCCTGCCACAGTGAGGCCTCCATCCTCACCTTCTGACAATCTTGCCCCTTGCCCCGGTGTCACACTGTCAGCTCTGTACCCAATGGCCAACCTGAGCAGCACCCTGCTGGACCAGCCAAGACCACGGTTGCATAGAAAGCTTTATTCTACAGCAGTAACCTGCCCAGGTACAAGCCACATAATTCCATGAAGATTTTACTGAATCAAGATGTTAACAGCAACAAAGATGCTATAAAAAGTCATCCGCCGAGAATCAGGCATCTTCTTTGCATTGCCTCAGCCTCCATAGGGTGGAAAAACGAATACTTTACAAAGCTATTTCATAAAATGTTATGTTAAATGAATAACAAATAACTTTCTCTTTTACTAGCTTTTAATGCTAATAGTGCCATTTATTCCTGACCTTCAGAAATATGAGATATTTTAAATGACAACATAAAAAGAGTTCTTGTTTGAAAACCCAAGCTACTTTAGACTGCATATTATTACTTCTAAGTATAGTGTATGCCTGCATCCCTCATTTCAGCATCCCATTTCTATCTGGCTGGTGTGTATTTCATCTGACATTTATTGTTCTCTTGCATACGTGTCAAATTCCTTAATGACGACTCTGACAAAGCCGTAGTGCTCGGTATATATAAATTACATTTGCTACCATATAATCAGTGTTATCTATTAGAATGCTATTTGTGACAAATCAAGTTCAAAATAAAAATTGAATTGATTTTTCTGTTATTTTAATATTGTGCCGCACGCAGCACGCCTTTGATTGAACCTTAAACACTTTAATGCTCTATTTTTGTTTGTGGCAGATCAGAAATGGAGTTTGTACTATTCACAAAGCTAAAACAATTTGCTCTGTCTCAAAAAGACCAAAAAAAAAAAAAAAAAAAAAAAAAAAAAAAAAAAAAGCGTCTTTATTTTCAAGCCAAGGGAATACATTTGCTAAAGCTATCGTTACAGGATACACGACTGAACGCGGCCGAAAGCCACGCACACACATTTAATTTCTGTGCCTCCATTTTCATCTAAATTAGATTTTAACTTTAATGCACGGTATGAAAAGCCTCTCCCGGGCCTTTGTTTCTGCCTTTTCTCTCAAGCCATCGCAGGCTTTCTCCTGGCTAATACAAGCTCCACGTTGGTTTTTTCCTTCCATCTTTTGGCAGTGTTTAGGCTGCATTCTCAGGGCTCTGGCTGCAGGCGGTTATGTTTCTGGAATCCTCTCATGGGATGTCTCTCAAGAGGGTGTTTGCTTGACCCACACAGTAACCAAATAAATCATAGAGTCTGGCTAGCACTATGCTTTTGGCTTAATTTGTGGCTTAGAGCAGAGGCTGGAAAATTGGGGTCCATGGCCA